AAGAAAAGAATAACCTTAGCAACCGTTGCTAAGGAAAGAAAAATTCTTAGCAACCGTTGCTAAGGAAAAAGAATCCTTAGGAACCGATGCTAAGATATAAGTATAAAATTAATAAAAATAGATTTTTAAAAAATCTCTATTTTTAAATAAAAAAAAAGGAATGATAAAAGTGAAATATATTAAAAAATCATATTAAATTTACCATTATAATGTCAAATATTGCTTTTCTATAAATATCGACAAAATTTGCAGATTTATATACGACAGAGTTCACAAAAATGAACAAATAACAGATAGTAATAAATTTTAATTTTTTTTTTTTTTTGAGAATCGATAAATATATAATTTTTGCAATGGACTAAAATGTGTCGGAAGGGATAAATTTCCATGTAATTTATCAACAAGTAGAGAGAGAGAGAGAGAGAGAGAGAGAGAGAGATGGAAATCATTGGTGGTAAGCAGAATATCCTCTCAGTATACTGACAAATTGATGTGAATCGATTTCTCTCGGATTTCAGCGCCGGAATCTTCCTAACTTTGCTTTGGTGAAAACTGAAAATCTCCCTCACACATACACACACATGTATATATATATATATATATATATATTTGGTCGCAACTTTTGAAATAGGTCAGTTACATTGGGAATTTTAACTGCTCATGAATAATTCAGTGCTGGTTAGCGAGAAAAATGACAAGGGACAGAATCCCTATATATACCTGTGTGTTGTACCTTATTATTATATGAATACCTCCCGGCTTAATCAAATTAGTATTCATTAATTAAATGCCACAAGTATAACTCATTTTCCCCCTTTACATTTTAATATCATATTCTTCATATTTAATTTGTGGAAAAATTTTATAAAAAGAATTTCCATCTTTTGTAAATAGAGAATTTTTTGTTATTCACAAAAATTTATTAAAAAAAAAAAAAAAAAAGAAAAGTAGTGCATTAGGTTAGTTTAAATAAAAAGATTAAAAAAAAATAATAAATTTATATATATTTATTAATCAGAAAAATTGAAGAAAAATTATTTTTCTTAATTTTTCTTCTAGAAATTTGTTGACAATTCTAATTATCTTTAATAGATCTTAGAAACATTTAACAGTATTTAAACTGTACTGTGAATTTATCGATTAAATAACACAATTAGGGACTAACCGATAGCAATTAAACCTCGAAGAGTGAAAGCTAGTAGCGCCCCCTTACAAAAGGTCAAACTGAAATGAAGGATCGATGTTAAGAGTGTAACTCGAAACTGACATCAGACCTACCGACCCACAACAAGTAGAACAAGAACAAGACACGAGTCACAGACACAGCACTACTTTACAATTTTTTTTTTTTTTTTTTTGGTATTGTCGCATATTTTAGTCTCTGTAAAAAAAAAAAACAGAAAACAACAACTTTCCCCAAAATCCCTATACGAAAGAAAAAAAAATTCTGCGGGTGTATTATTATTATTTTTCCCCTCCCCCATTTTTTTTTTTTTTTTTTTGAGGCCATTGTCTCATCCAGATTTTCCGTCCGATTGTTCTTCCTTTCTCTTTAACCTCTTTTACTGGGAATCCACTCTCGCGCTTTTGCACTGTGTCGACACTCAGTATATACTTTTCCATTGTCCGCCGCCTTCCTACCCCCATTGAATTTTCAACATGAGAGCACGTGGCAGTACCTATTTATCTCAACCGTGATGTTTCAACACCACGAAATTTTCTTGCCACTATTTCGCTTTGTTTCTGTCCATTTTTGTCACTGTATTATTTCTCCTCTCATTCCGTTCGCGAAAATTATGTTCCATTGTGTTGTTCATTTTAATGTGACTAAGGAGCAAAAGTATATATATATATATTTTTTTTTTTACCACCCACTAGTAGAAATTAGTATTATTGGACAAATTCTAAATGTGCATTTTAACTGGTTTTAAATTTTAAATTTTTATTTAATTTCAGAATTTTGATATCAGTAGTATATGTTAGTTTTGGTCAGACAGAACGTTGAAACTATTTAGAACCTGCTTTGGATCTATACAGAAACTACTCTGAACCCATTTAGGACATATACAAAACCTACTTTCGACCTAATTAGGACATATACAGAATCTACTTTGGACCTAATTAGGACATGTACAGAGCCTACTTTGGACCTATACAATACCTACTTTGAACCTACCTTGGATCCATACAGAAACTACTTTAAACCTATTTAGGACACATACACAACCTACTTTGGACCTAGCACATATACAGAATCTACTTTGGACCTAATTAGAAAATATACAGAACCTAAATTGGACCTATTTTGGACCTATATTTGACCTACTTTAAACCTAAATTAAACCTATTTAGAACCTACTTTAGACCTACCTTGGACATATACAGAACCTACTTTGGACCTATACATAACCTACTTTGAACCTACATTTAATCTACTTAGAACCTACTTTGGTTCCATACAGAAACTACTTTAAACCTATTTAAGACACATACAGAACCTACTTTAAATCTACTTTGGACCCATACAGAAACTATTTTAAACGTATTTAGGACACATTCAGAACCTAATTTGAACCTATTTAGGACATATATAGAACCTACTTTAAACCAATTTAGGACCTATATTAGACTTAATTTAAACCTACATTGAACATGTTTAGAACCTACTTTAGACCTACTTTGGACATATACAGAATCTACTTAGGACCTATACAAAATCTACTTTAAACCTTTTTAGGACGTATACAGAACCTACTTTACCCTACTTTGGACCTATATTGAACCTACTTAAGACTTATACAGAACCTACTTTGAACCTAGTTTGTACCTACATTAGACCTATATTAAACCTACTTTGGACATATTCAGAACCTATTTTGAACCTACATAGAACATGTTTAGAACCAACTTTGTCACTACTTTTTGACCTATATTAGACCTACTTTAAACCTACATTGAACCTACATTGAACCTACTTTGAACCTACTTAGAACCTACTTTAAACCTATTTTGAACCTACTTTAGACAAGCATGGAACCTAAATTACACCTTTTATAAAGCTAAGTAGTAACAAACTAGTTGTAATCAGACAAAACGTTATAAATTCCAATAATTCAAGAATCAGTAGTACATGCCAGTTTTAGTAAGACCGAACGTTATAAAATCAGTAGTAAAGGACAATTGTAGTCCGACAGTATTTTATATAAATTCTTGTAATTAACTGTCCAGTAGTAAAACTATTTATAGTCAGACGAAATACATATATTTTAAACCGTAGATTTTTTTTCCGCATAGTTAAGGAAATAATTAAGGAGTCAGTAGTACAAAATAGTTTTTGGTCAGACAGAAATCTAATTAATTTTTATTTTCAAATAGTTAAGCCAAATTTTAGTCAGACGTTATGATGTCTATTCAGTGATGAGAATAATAAAAAATATTTGTGTTTTTTTTTTTTTTTTTAAATTAAATTTTGTAAATATTTTTAACCTTAGAAAATAAAAACAATTTTGAAGCATTGAAAAGTTTGTCAGCAGGTGCTTTGGGTGAGTCAATTACAAGACAACCAAGTTCAATGGGAAATAGAGTGTTCAGAAATGAAACTGTTTTGGACACGATGATATTGGTCCGAGAAAAGTAGTTTTCAAAATAAGTCAGTGGAAAATACAACGAATAGCAGCAATATTAAAGGGACCCAATGGTTATGGAAAGGAAAGTGGGAGAAGGAGGAGGGAGGGGGTGGAATATCAATGGAAAAGAAAACGTTGCTTCGTAATGGTGAGTCGGCACAGTATTGTGTCGACAACTTTCTTTCTCTTTCTCTCTTTCACTCGTCTCTTTTTCTGTCACAAAAGTAGTAGTAGTAGTAGCACACAATATAGCAAAAACACAACCATCCAACAAATACATTATTCAACGCGCTGCGTCTTCGTTCGCCTTCAGCATCCCGTTCGGTCAGACTCACTTAACCGAACCATGGACCCTATATACTAATACTTTCCCAAAGAAACATATGGCTCTAAACCACTATACTGAATCAAAAAAAAAAAAAAAAAAAAAAAAAGAAAGAAAGCTACCTTTACATCCAAATTAATAAATATTACATTTACTCCATCTTTTTTATCAGACAAAAAATATAATATACTGGTCAGACAAAATATGACGATGCAGGATAATGCCTTAGAATTCATTATTCTCAATTCCCTGAGGATTGAATTTTCAACTATATTTAATCGTATTTTTATAAAAACCGAATCTTTACAAAAGAGATTTTCAATATTATCCTAAAAAAAGACTTTCTATCAAAAATTATATTTAAGGAGTCTTGTAAATTTTTAAGACCATAAATTGACGGTTAAAAACTTTTTATTTTTAAAGTTTCTAAATTTAAAAGAACAATAATAATAAAAAAAAATTTAGGGGGATTTTACCTGCATTTTACCTTTACGACATTTATGTTAACATTGCTTTTACCTACCTAATATTTATCTTTTACCTAATATTTGCAATATTTCAGTTATTGCAATAAGCAATTACCTGTTAGTGTAAATGGTATTAAGAAAAAAAAAGGAAAAATTGAAAATTGAACTCGACTAGAATTTTAGAGAGAGAAAAAAAATAATGTTTAGAGTAAAAATCACTCAAGAGATCAAAGAATTTTAATAAATGACTTGAGACTATAATTTCATATATACTTATAAATATAACAAATTATCCAGAAACGAGCTGAGCTCGTCAAAAAAAAAAAAAAAAAAAAAAAAAACAACAACAAAAATAAAAAAAAATGTTAATAAGGAAGTTCCTCTTTTCACACAATTGACAAAAAAAAATCTTCTAATAGTTATTGTAAAATAAAGAATGCAAAATTTATAATTTATAAATTAAATTGCAATTTCCCAAAAAAATTGTAAATTACAATAAAAATTGCAATTTACAATTGAAAAATTGTAATTTAATAATAAAAAAATTGTAATTTACGAAAAAAATTGCAGTACAAAATTAAAAATTTACAATAAAAATCGCAATTAACAATAAATAATTAATTGTAAAAAGAAGAGAAAGATGTGAAAAAAATACAGTAATTTGTAATATACAAAAAATTATATAACTTAAAAATAATAAATATATATATATATATATATATAACTTATACAAAGAATTGTTAATTTAATTATTTTACGCTAAAAAACCCGTCCAACTAAATTTATACTTGTACTGCTGCCTAGTAATTCTACTGAGAAAATTGTTATACTGCTGAGCAATACTACTGAGAAAATTGTACTACTGCTGAGTAATACTACTGAGAAAATTGTACTACTGCTGAGTAATACTACTGAGAAAATTGTACTACTGCTGAGTAATACTACTGAAAAAAGCATGACCCAAGGTCAAGTCAAGGTCGTTCAAGGTCATTTGAAGGTCAAGTCAAGGTCATTCAAGGTCATTTGAAGGTCAAGTCAAGGTCATTCAAGGTCATTCAAGGTCGTTTGAAGGTAAAATCAAGAATGTCTGACTAAATATTTACTTGTATTACTAACAAAATTGCAAACCCGTCCAACTAAATTTTTACTTGTACTACTGCCTAGTAATTCTACTGAGAAAATTGTTCTACTGCTGAGCAATACTACTGAGAAAATTGTACTCCTGCTGAGTAATACTACTGAGAAAATTGTTCTACTGCTGAGTAATACTACTGAGAAAATTGTACTACTGCTGAGTAATACTACTGAGAAAATTGTTCTACTGCTGAGTAATACTACTGAGAAAATTGTTCTACTGCTGAGCAATACTACTGAGAAAATTATACTACTGCTGAGTAATACTACTGAGAAAATTGTACTACTGCTGAGTAATACTACTGAGAAAATTGTACTACTGCTGAGTAATACTACTGAGAAAATTGTACTACTGCTGAGTAATACTACTGAAAAAAGCATGACCCCAGGTCAAGTCAAGGTCGTTCAAGGTCATTTGAAGGTCAAGTCAAGGTCATTCAAGGTCATTCAAGGTCGTTTGAAGGTCAAATCAAGAATGTCTGACTAAATATTTACTTGTATTACTAACAAAATTGCAAACCCGTCCAACTAAATTTTTACTTGTACTACTGCCTAGTAATTCTACTGAGAAAATTGTTCTACTGCTGAGCAATACTACTGAGAAAATTGTACTACTGCTGAGTAATACTACTGAGAAAATTGTTCTACTGCTGAGTAATACTACTGATAAAATTGTACTACTGCTGAGAAATACTACTGCAAAAATTGTACTACTGCTGAGTAATACTACTGAGAAAATTGTTCTACTGCTGAGTAATACTACTGAGAAAATTGTTCTACTGCTGAGCAATACTACTGAGAAAATTGTACTACTGCTGAGTAATACTACTGAGAAAATTTGTACTACTGCTGAGTAATACTACTTAGAAAATTGTACTACTGCTCAGTAATACTACTGAAAAAAGCATGACTCAAGGTCAACTCAAGGTCGTTCAAGGTCATTTGAAGGTCAAGTCAAGGTCATTCAAGGTCATTTGAAGGTCAAGTCAAGGTCATTCAAGGTCATTCAAGGTCGTTTGAAGGTCAAATCAAGAATGTCTGACTAAATATTTACTTGTATTACTAACAAAATTGCAAACCCGTCCAACTAAATTTTTACTTGTACTACTGCCTAGTAATTCTACTGAGAAAATTGTTCTACTGCTGAGCAATACTACTGAGAAAATTGTACTACTGCTGAGTAATACTACTGAGAAAATTGTTCTACTGCTGAGTAATACTACTGATAAAATTGTACTACTGCTGAGAAATACTACTGCAAAAATTGTACTACTGCTGAGTAATACTACTGAGAAAATTGTTCTACTGCTGAGTAATACTACTGAGAAAATTGTTCTACTGCTGAGCAATACTACTGAGAAAATTGTACTACTGCTGAGTAATACTACTGAGAAAATTTGTACTACTGCTGAGTAATACTACTTAGAAAATTGTACTACTGCTCAGTAATACTACTGAAAAAAGCATGACTCAAGGTCAACTCAAGGTCGTTCAAGGTCATTTGAAGGTCAAGTCAAGGTCATTCAAGGTCATTCAAGGTCCTTTGAAGGTCAAATCAAGAATGTCTGACTAAATATTTACTTGTATTACTAACAAAATTGCAAACCCGTCCAACTAAATTTTTACTTGTACTACTGCCTAGTAATTCTACTGAGAAAATTGTTCTACTGCTGAGCAATACTACTGAGAAAATTGTACTACTGCTGAGTAATACTACTGAGAAAATTGTTCTACTGCTGAGCAATACTACTGAGAAAATTGTACTACTGCTGAGTAATACTACTGAGAAAATTTGTACTACTGCTGAGTAATACTACTTAGAAAATTGTACTACTGCTCAGTAATACTACTGAAAAAAGCATGACTCAAGGTCAACTCAAGGTCGTTCAAGGTCATTTGAAGGTCAAGTCAAGGTCATTCAAGGTCATTTGAAGGTCAAGTCAAGGTCATTCAAGGTCATTCAAGGTCCTTTGACGGTCAAATCAAGAATGTCTGACTAAATATTTACTTGTATTACTAACAAAATTGCAAACCCGTCCAACTTAATTTTTACTTGTACTACTGCCTAGTAATTCTACTGAGAAAATTGTTCTACTGCTGAGCAATACTACTGAGAAAATTGTACTACTGCTGAGTAATACTACTGAGAAAATTGTTCTACTACTGAGAAAATTGTACTACTGCTGAGTAATACTACTGAGAAAATTGTTCTACTGCTGAGTAATACTACTGATAAAATTGTACTACTGCTGAGAAATACTACTGCAAAAATTGTACTACTGCTGAGTAATACTACTTAGAAAATTGTACTACTGCTCAGTAATACTACTGAAAAAAGCATGACTCAAGGTCAAGTCAAGGTCGTTCAAGGTCATTTGAAGGTCAAGTCAAGGTCATTCAAGGTCATTTGAAGGTCAAGTCAAGGTCATTCAAGGTCATTCAAGGTCCTTTGAAGGTCAAATCAAGAATGTCTGACTAAATATTTACTTGTATTACTAACAAAATTGCAAACCCGTCCAACTAAATTTTTACTTGTACTACTGCCTTGTAATTCTACTGAGAAAATTGTTCTACTGCTGAGCAATACTACTGAGAAATTTGTACTACTGCTGAGTAATACTACTGAGAAAATTGTTCTACTGCTGAGTAATACTACTGAGAAAATTGTTCTACTGCTGAGTAATACTACTGAGAAAATTGTTCTACTGCTGAGCAATACTACTGAGAAAATTGTACTACTGCTGAGTAATACTACTGAGAAAATTGTACTACTGCTGAGAAATACTACTGCAAAAATTGTTCTACTGCTGAGTAATACTACTGAGAAAATTGTTCTACTGCTCAGCAATACTACTGAGAAAATTGTACTACTGCTGAGTAATACTACTGATAAAATTGTACTACTGCTGAGTAATACTACTGAGAAAAGCATGACTCAAGGTCAAGTCAAGGTCGTTCAAGGTCATTTGAAGGTCAAGTCAAGGTCATTCAAGGTCATTTGAAGGTCAAGTCAAGGTCATTCAAGGTCATTCAAGGTCGTTTGAAGGTCAAATCAAGAATGTCTGACTAAATATTTACTTGTATTACTAACAAAATTGCAAACCCGTCAAACTAAATTTTTACTTGTACTACTGCCTAGTGATTCTACTGAGAAAATTGTTCCACTGCTGAGCAATACTACTGAGAAATTTGTACTACTGCTGAGTAATACTACTGAGAAAATTGTTCTACTGCTGAGTAATACTACTGAGAAAATTGTTCTACTGCTGAGCAATACTACTGAGAAAATTGTACTACTGCTGAGTAATACTACTGAGAAAATTGTACTACTGCTGAGAAATACTACTGCAAAAATTGTACTACTGCTGAGTAATACTACTGAGAAAATTGTTCTACTGCTGAGTAATACTACTGAGAAAAGCATGACTCAAGGTCAAGTCAAGGTCGTTCAAGGTCATTTGAAGGTCAAGTCAAGGTCATTCAAGGTCATTTGAAGGTCAAGTCAAGGTCATTCAAGGTCATTCAAGGTCCTTTGAAGGTCAAATCAAGAATGTCTGACTAAATATTTACTTGTATTACTAACAAAATTGCAAACCCGTCCAACTAAATTTTTACTTGTACTACTGCCTAGTGATTCTACTGAGAAAATTGTTCTACTGCTGAGCAATACTACTGAGAAATTTGTACTACTGCTGAGTAATACTACTGAAAAAATTGTTCTACTGCTGAGTAATACTACTGAGAAAATTGTTCTACTGCTGAGCAATACTACTGAGAAAATTGTACTACTGCTGAGTAATACTACTGAGAAAATTGTACTACTGCTGAGAAATACTACTGCAAAAATTGTACTACTGCTGAGTAATACTACTGAGAAAATTGTTCTACTGCTGAGTAATACTACTGAGAAAATTGTACTACTGCTGAGTAATACTACTGATAAAATTGTACTACTGCTGAGTAATACTACTGAGAAAAGCATGACTCAAGGTCAAGTCAAGGTCGTTCAAGGTCATTTGAAGGTCAAGTCAAGGTCATTCAAGGTCATTTGAAGGTCAAGTCAAGGTCATTCAAGGTCATTCAAGGTCGTTTGAAGGTCAAATCAAGAATGTCTGACTAAATATTTACTTGTATTACTAACAAAATTGCAAACCCGTCCAACTAAATTTTTACTTGTACTACTGCCTAGTGATTCTACTGAGAAAATTGTTCCACTGCTGAGCAATACTACTGAGAAATTTGTACTACTGCTGAGTAATACTACTGAGAAAATTGTTCTACTGCTGAGTAATACTACTGAGAAAATTGTTCTACTGCTGAGCAATACTACTGAGAAAATTGTACTACTGCTGAGTAATACTACTGAGAAAATTGTACTACTGCTGAGAAATACTACTGCAAAAATTGTACTACTGCTGAGTAATACTACTGAGAAAATTGTTCTACTGCTGAGTAATACTACTGAGAAAAGCATGACTCAAGGTCAAGTCAAGGTCGTTCAAGGTCATTTGAAGGTCAAGTCAAGGTCATTCAAGGTCATTTGAAGGTCAAGTCAAGGTCATTCAAGGTCATTCAAGGTCCTTTGAAGGTCAAATCAAGAATGTCTGACTAAATATTTACTTGTATTACTAACAAAATTGCAAACCCGTCCAACTAAATTTTTACTTGTACTACTGCCTAGTGATTCTACTGAGAAAATTGTTCTACTGCTGAGCAATACTACTGAGAAATTTGTACTACTGCTGAGTAATACTACTGAAAAAATTGTTCTACTGCTGAGTAATACTACTGAGAAAATTGTTCTACTGCTGAGCAATACTACTGAGAAAATTGTACTACTGCTGAGTAATACTACTGAGAAAATTGTACTACTGCTGAGAAATACTACTGCAAAAATTGTACTACTGCTGAGTAATACTACTGAGAAAATTGTTCTACTGCTGAGTAATACTACTGAGAAAATTGTACTACTGCTGAGTAATACTACTGAGAAAATTGTACTACTGCTGAGTAATACTACTGAGAAAATTGTACTACTGCTGAGTAATACTACTGATAATATTGTACTACTGCTGAGTAATACTACTGAGAAAAGCATGACTCAAGGTCAAGTCAAGGTCGTTCAAGGTCATTTGAAGGTCAAGTCAAGGTCATTCAAGGTCATTTGAAGGTCAAGTCAAGGTCATTCAAGGTCGTTTGAAGGTCAAATCAAGAATGTCTGACTAAATATTTACTTGTATTACTAACAAAATTGCAAACCCGTCCAACTAAATTTTTACTTGTACTACTGCCTAGTGATTCTACTGAGAAAATTGTTCTACTGCTGAGCAATACTACTGAGAAATTTGTACTACTGCTGAGTAATACTACTGAGAAAATTGTTCTACTGCTGAGTAATACTACTGAGAAAATTGTTCTACTGCTGAGCAATACTACTGAGAAAATTGTACTACTGCTGAGTAATACTACTGAGAAAATTGTACTACTGCTGAGAAATACTACTGCAAAAATTGTACTACTGCTGAGTAATACTACTGAGAAAATTGTTCTACTGCTGAGTAATACTACTGAGAAAATTGTACTACTGCTGAGTAATACTACTGAGAAAATTGTACTACTGCTGAGTAATACTACTGAGAAAATTGTACTACTGCTGAGTAATACTACTGATAATATTGTACTACTGCTGAGTAATACTACTGAGAAAAGCATGACTCAAGGTCAAGTCAAGGTCGTTCAAGGTCATTTGAAGGTCAAGTCAAGGTCATTCAAGGTCATTTGAAGGTCAAGTCAAGGTCATTCAAGGTCATTCAAGGTCGTTTGAAGGTCAAATCAAGAATGTCTGACTAAATATTTACTTGTATTACTAACAAAATAGCAAACCCGTCCAACTAAATTTTTACTTGTACTACTGCCTAGTGATTCTACTGAGAAAATTGTTCTACTGCTGAGCAATACTACTGAGAAATTTGTACTACTGCTGAGTAATACTACTGAGAAAATTGTTCTACTGCTGAGTAATACTACTGAGAAAATTGTTCTACTGCTGAGCAATACTACTGAGAAAATTGTACTACTGCTGAGTAATACTACTGAGAAAATTGTACTACTGCTGAGAAAATTGTACTACTGCTGAGAAATACTACTGCAAAAATTGTACTACTGCTGAGTAATACTACTGAGAAAATTGTTCTACTGCTGAGTAATACTACTGAGAAAATTGTACTACTGCTGAGTAATACTACTGAGAAAATTGTACTACTGCTGAGTAATACTACTGAGAAAATTGTACTACTGCTGAGTAATACTACTGATAATATTGTACTACTGCTGAGTAATACTACTGAGAAAAGCATGACTCAAGGTCAAGTCAAGGTCGTTCAAGGTCATTTGAAGGTCAAGTCAAGGTCATTCAAGGTCATTTGAAGGTCAAGTCAAGGTCATTCAAGGTCATTCAAGGTCGTTTGAAGGTCAAATCAAGAATGTCTGACTAAATATTTACTTGTATTACTAACAAAATTGCAAACCCGTCCAACTAAATTTTTACTTGTACTACTGCCTAGTGATTCTACTGAGAAAATTGTTCTACTGCTGAGCAATACTACTGAGAAATTTGTACTACTGCTGAGTAATACTACTGAGAAAATTGTTCTACTGCTGAGTAATACTACTGAGAAAATTGTTCTACTGCTGAGCAATACTACTGAGAAAATTGTACTACTGCTGAGTAATACTACTGAGAAAATTGTACTACTGCTGAGAAATACTACTGCAAAAATTGTACTACTGCTGAGTAATACTACTGAGAAAATTGTTCTACTGCTGAGTAATACTACTGAGAAAATTGTACTACTGCTGAGTAATACTACTGAGAAAATTGTACTACTGCTGAGTAATACTACTGAGAAAATTGTACTACTGCTGAGTAATACTACTGATAATATTGTACTACTGCTGAGTAATACTACTGAGAAAAGCATGACTCAAGGTCAAGTCAAGGTCGTTCAAGGTCATTTGAAGGTCAAGTCAAGGTCATTCAAGGTCATTTGAAGGTCAAGTCAAGGTCAGTCAAGGTCATTCAAGGTCGTTTGAAGGTCAAATCAAGAATGTCTGACTAAATATTTACTTGTATTACTAACAAAATTGCAAACCCGTCCAACTAAATTTTTACTTGTACTACTGCCTAGTGATTCTACTGAGAAAATTGTTCTACTGCTGAGCAATACTACTGAGAAATTTGTACTACTGCTGAGTAATACTACTGAGAAAATTGTTCTACTGCTGAGTAATACTACTGAGAAAATTGTTCTACTGCTGAGCAATACTACTGATAATATTGTACTACTGCTGAGTAATACTACTGAGAAAAGCATGACTCAAGGTCAAGTCAAGGTCGTTCAAGGTCATTTGAAGGTCAAGTCAAGGTCATTCAAGGTCATTTGAAGGTCAAGTCAAGGTCAGTCAAGGTCATTCAAGGTCGTTTGAAGGTCAAATCAAGAATGTCTGACTAAATATTTACTTGTATTACTAACAAAATTGCAAACCCGTCCAACTAAATTTTTACTTGTACTACTGCCTAGTGATTCTACTGAGAAAATTGTTCTACTGCTGAGCAATACTACTGAGAAATTTGTACTACTGCTGAGTAATACTACTGAGAAAATTGTTCTACTGCTGAGTAATACTACTGAGAAAATTGTTCTACTGCTGAGCAATACTACTGAGAAAATTGTACTACTGCTGAGTAAATAATGATGATATTAGTGGTTCCCGACGTTACCTACCGTTGGTAACAATTACCATTGATTTTATCTACTACAGGTATTAATTACAATTGATTTTATCTACTGTCGGTAATACCTACACTTGGTATCAATTAAAACTTCTTTTTGTCGATGATAATCGACATTGAATTTTATTTTTTTTAAAACAGAATTAAAATTATAAATTAAAAATTTAAATTGAAGAAATAATTTGTTTTCATGTTGTCATTTAAAAAAAAAAAAATAATAATAGTAATGCTGAAAATGGAACTTGGCGTTAATGGTTGAACTAATTAAAAATATTCTCTTTTATTCAAAAGCCACTTAATATTTCAGTAGTTATATCCACTAATGGTTTGAGACTAAAGCTAAAACGAGAAAATGGAAGATATTTTCGATCGAATAAAAAATGAGGGAATGAATAAAGAGGGTCATTTAGTGGAGTTATAAATAGGAGGGGAAAAAAAGGTTAGAGAATAATATCGTATATTATATGTAAAGAGGGATAAGATGAAAAAAAAAATAGGAAAAAAAAATAGTCGAACAACAGAAGGTGGTGAGACAAGCCTCAATCAACAGTGCATACATTCAATTCTCTCTCACACACTCTCTGGGGATTGTCAAACTTGAACATTGAATCTGACAGTTTGTAATGACTTCAGTTCACTGGATCTTGATGCACTGTCGTGTAAGCGCAAAATCTGATTAGTGAGATCGTCAGTCGGATGAATTTCAACGTGCTTCGTATATATATATGGAGGGGGGGGGGTGCCAGTGAATATTGAATACTGTATTCCATTTTTAATGAGTCTTTATACACACTTCTCATCATGTATTGGTGCAATAAATCGAATAACGCGAAACTCTCATTTTCTATTCAACCGATTTCGTTGAAAAGTGCATTTTTCAATATTACGCTTATTCAACACTTTTTTTTCTCTTCATATTAAAGAATTTTTTTTTTTTTTTTACTTTATCAATTTCACTTGTTTTATATTGAACAAATTGCTTGAAAGCAAGTTTTTTTTTATATTATTTTATTCTCCTTAATTGCGCCTTTGATTTTCACTTATTTATTTGATATAGAAAAAAATTATTCTGTTTTTTTTTTTGAATGGCAGTTGAAAAAAGTTTTTTTTTTGAAGAATTTGCCACGTAACGTTCTTAAGCAGTAGAGCAAGTTGATTTTAAATTAAATTAAAAAGATTGACTCACAGTCCTTGAATATTAAACGTACATCATTTGAGTTACGGTGAAGAGACGTTATACTGTGCATCAAACTCCTAACTTTGGGAATTTTACTTAACTTTGAAATTAGTCAAAGAAGATGAAGTTTCCGGTACGGTACTTTTCGTGCTCACCGTCATTATATCGCCTCCTCACACGTAATGCGAACGTCAATTTACAAAATTTTACTTTACAAATGCTAATCTTCATTTCCAACTTGATTATTCATCACACGAGAAATTTATATTTTTTATTCCTCTTAAATTTTGTTATAATTTTATTTCAAATTTAAAAAAAAATTCATTTTACATATCTTTTTTATTTTTTTAATTATTATCGATGGCAATTATTACCAACGGTAAGTAAAAATCGATGGTAATTATTAACGACTGCAGATAAAATGGATGGTAATTATTATTGACTGTAAGTATAATCGGTGGGTATTATTACCAACTATAATTGTTACCGACCGTAGATAAAATCGATGGTCATTATTACCGACAGTAGGTAAAAATCATTGGTACTTATTACCGACAGTAGACAAAATTAATGGTGGTTATTACCTACAGTAGATAAAGTCAATTGTAGTTATTACCGACAGTAGGTAAAATCAATGGTACTTATTACCGACAGTAGGTAAAATCAATGGTACTTATTACCGACAGTAGGTAAAATCAATAGCACTTATTACCGACAGTAGGTAAAATCAATGGTACTTATTACTGACAGTAGGTAAAATCAATAGCACTTATTACCGACATTAGGTAAAATCAATGGTATTATTACCGACGGTAGGTAAAAATCGATGGTAATTATTACCGACTGCAGGTAAAATAGATGGTAATTATTATTGACTGTAAGTATAATAGGTGGCTATTATTACCAACTATAATTATTACCGACAGTAGACAAAATTAATGGTGGTTATTACGTACAGTAGATAAAGTCAATTGTGGTTATTACCGACAGTAGGTAAAATCAATGTTAATTATTACCTACAGTAGATAAAATCAATAGTGGTTATTACCGACAGTAGATAAAATTGATGGTGATTATTACCTACAGTATGTAAAATCAATGGTAATTGTTACCGACCGAAGATAAACTCGTTGGTGATTATTACCGACAGTAGGAAAAATCAATGGTGGTTATTACCTACAGTAGATAATGTCAATTGTGGTTATTACCGACAGTAGATAAAATCAATGGTGGTTATTATCTATATTAGATAAAGTCAATTGTGGATATTACCGACAGTAGGCAAAATCAATGTTACTTATTACCGACAGTAGGTAAAATAAATTTTAAACATAACAAACTAATTTTGTTTATCTGAATATATATTCACATCACTGTTTTGGACACAAATTAAATTAATTATTGAATTTGAATGGGTATTAAACCTCCTCCTTGCTCCCTCTCTCTCTCTCTCGTGTTGAGAGGTTGAAATCCAGGAAATGCTTAGCATTAGATGGACAAGTCATTATTCACCACTAAAGTTGCTGAGACACGTGGAGAACAGGCAAATGGAGTGAGAGTGAAATGAAGGGGGGGATTGAGGATGGGAAGCTAAGTGCTACTTCCCTATCGGGATTCTGCCTACTAACGTGTAATTGCCAAACTACCACTCAAAGTCGACTGTCAGCAAAGTCAAGTCACTACTTGACTGACTCTCTCGTCGATTCTCATGAAAGTGAATTCAATGTTTTTGTTTCTGATTGAGAAGAGACCTTTCCTATTCACACACATACATATATAGATAAGTGAAGAGGGGCTAAGTGCTTTAATTAATCACCAAGTTATCTAATAAATTAGTATTCAATCCGTCATTCTTGGTCTCTTGTGTGTAAATCGTTTTCAGATATACAACACATATATATATCTGTGAGAGGGAGAAATTTCAGTTTCCCAGGACAATTTCAAACTTATTAATTGATCACATAAATATAAATAAAAAAAATAATGACTAGAGAAATAAAAAAAAAATTATAATTATGTATTAATACGATAGATAATTTTTATATTAAATTCAACATCTCAATAACTAAACAATATTTTTTTTGGAAAATGGAAGAAAAAAATGAAAAGAAAATTATTAATAAAGATAGTAATACAATATGTGATAAGATTGATTATCATCAAGAAAGTGAATAAAGAACACGATCGCGAACAATGCCCTTTTTTGATCAATAATTCAGAATGAGCGTTTAAACAGCATTTCTTATAGAATGTTATACCTGTTGATCTGAAAGCAAAAATTGACGGATAGCATCGCATCAAGTAAATAATTCTGGCAAGTTCAAAGGTGAAAAATAATTTATCTCTTTTCTTTAACAATAGAGCCCTCAACTTGATTGCAAAAGAAAATTATATTTTTCTTTTTGCTTAAATAAAATATAACCATTTTATCAGGATGCTTTATATTATTTATTTTATCCATTAATTGTAAACGTTTATTCTCTCATTCTTTTTTTTTCAATAAAATTTCGTTAATTTTAAATTACTATTAATGATAAAATAGTAGGTACTATTAACGATAGTTACTATTTATTGTAATCCCAACTAATAATAATTACTTTTAATTGTAATTACTTTAAATAGTTTTTATTATCAAAATTATTTACTATTGACAATTAGAACTATTAATAATAGTAACTGTTGATAGTAGGTGCTATTAACAGCTGTTAATATTTGTTACTAATAATAGTAGTTACTATTAACAGTAGTAACTATCAATAGTAGTTAATAATAGTTAGTATTAATACCAAAATAGTTACTATTGATACTACTAAACATTGGCACTAGCAACTATTGATAGTAGCAGGCATTAATACTAGTAACTATTGATACTAGTAGGTTTTGATAGTAGTAGGTATTAATACTACTAACTATTGATACTAGTTGGTATTTATAGTAGTAGGTATTAATACTAGAAATAACTGATAGTAGTAGGTATTGATACTAGTAACTATTGATACTATTAGGTATTTATAGTAGTAGGTATTAATACTAGTAGGTATTGATACTAGTAACTATTGATACTAGTAGGTATTGATACTAGTAATTACTGATAGTAGTAGGTATTGATACTAGTAACTATTGATAGTAGTAACTATTGATAGTAGTAACTACTGATAGTAGTAACTACTTTTAGTAGTAACTATTAACGGCTATTAATAATTGTTACTAACAATAGTTACCACTAGTAGTAATAGTAGTATTGATAGTTATCAATAGTAGTTTCTATTAACGGAATTTATAATTAATGGTAATTGCAACTAATAATAGTTACTTTTGATAATTGTTACTTTTAATGTTAATTATAATAAATAGTAAGTTATCTATTTTATCAATAAAAGAAAATTTTCTTTTTTGTTACAATTTTCTTTTATCATTATTATAATGCAACAATTTTCGTTGCCATGAAACATGAGGGGATGTGAAATTTTCTTAAAAATACGTCTCAAATTTTTATCATAATGGTTCATATATGCACATTTTTGCAAGTGGAATATATATATTTTCTTACGGAAGTTATCAATTTTGATGCGCGCACGTCTCACACCCCGTGGAATCGCGCAGTTAACTCCTTATTCTGAATACGTAGATGTTCTTTCTCAAGCGCCATGTGAACTAAAGAAACGAGGGTTGATGGGACGTCGTTTAAATTGGATAAAGTTGAAAGAAGTCGAGAAAATAAAAGTATTCTTGTCATGACACTATTTTTACCATTATTGTTATTATAA